AAAAAAAAAAAAAAAATTGCACGTATCGTGCGTATCGTACCGATACGTATCGTATCGTAAAAACGTATCGTGTATCGGACGATACAACGCAAAAACGATACATAACTACGATCCGTATCGTTTTAGGGCTGTATCGTAACGTATCGTACGATACGTATCGCATATCGTAACGTATCGTACGATACGTATCGCGTATCGTACGATACTAACAACTTTGAGTTGGAGGACGATTCCCCTTGAAGTGAATCAATTTCTCACAGGATTCTTGGAACCTATCACTTGGTATCAGAGTAGTTCTTTTCATGGTATCATCATGGTTACTGTGAAAGAATTGACTGAACGTGTTGAGCAACTGGAATCAAGAATGGATCAACTTGCGGGTGGAGTTCAGGAAATCACAAAAGCCATTCACGTGATTCTGGCATCCTTAGACCAACTGGCGATGGCCCCCCGTGTAGACCGACTGGCCCCTGTTGCTCCTGCTGCACCGCAAATGGCGGACCAACAATCAGTGAATTTGCAAGATAGACTGGTTTTACAAGGGCAGCCGATTCGTATTGACTTTCCAAGATTTGATGGTGAAGATTTGAAGGGCTGGATTTTTCGAGTTGAGCAATATCAACACCTCCATGGACTCACCGATGCACAACTGGTGCCATTGGTTTCCATTCACCTAACTGGAGTGGCTACGTCGTGGTATTGCTGGATGGTTCGTTCAATTGGTGTCATGTCTTGGACACAATTCACTAAGGCTTTATGTTTACGTTTTGGTTCGCGAGAAGATATAGATCCTGCAGCTTCTTTGTCTAAAGCTTCATCAGACTAGTTCTGTGCGAGACTACCAAACAAAGTTTGAAATTTTAGCAAATCGGGTAAATGATTTACCTGAATCTTATTTGATTAGTTGTTTCATTTCGGGACTACGTGAAGACATCAAGGTTGGGATCCGTCTTTTGCGTCCTTCATCTTTGCCAGAGGCCTTTGATTTGGCTATTTGTCAGGAGGAGTCTATTTGGGCTTTACAAGACTACTCCATCAGGAAAACCCAATAGAAATCAAGCTCTAACCGAAACTAGGCACAAAATACTTCTTCAACTTCTCCTTACACAGCATCCCCAAGCTTACCACCCATCAAGCGTCTTACTATTTCAGAACAAAAAGAGAGGCGAGAAAAAGGGTTATGCTTCAATTGTGACAAACTTTTCAAGCCTGGCCATCGCTGCAAGCGTCCTCAACTGTTGTTCATGGAAGGACATCATGCACCAGAACACGACTATGCAATTTCTGGCACCAATCAGCCTGAAACTATGCGAATTACTGGCTATTTAAAGAGACAACTTGTTACAGTGTTGGTCGACTCTAGTTCAACCCATAATTTTCTACATTCTTCTCTAGCTCGATGTTGTGGTTATCTTGTGCACAACACTACTCCGATTCGCGTAACCATTGCCAACGGACGAATTCTTCATAGTCATGGTAAGTGTAATGGAGTTGACCTAAATTTGTAAGGTTATTGCTTCAAATCTGATTTTTTCTTATTACCGGTGAGTGGATGTGATATTGTCCTGGGGCTACTTGGCTTCGTTCCTTAGGCGCCATTACTTGGGAATTTTCTAAATTAATTATGAAGTTTATTCAGGATGGCCAAGAGTTCAAGTTAGTAGGTAATAAATCCTCAATCAACACTATTGTTGATCAAGGCAAACTTCACAAGTTGAGATTCCAAGCTGACTGTGTATTCTTGTTACAATTGGTGGCTGGAAACGTTGCTGNAAATATAACATGACTACATGAGAATAGTGGTGTACGTTGAGGAGTCCATCCAAGAGCAAGATTTGATAGTCATACACCATGAGAATAGGTGGAAATAATTAATTCAAGCACCTAAACAATGAAAAGGAAAACATCCACAAAGAAAAAAGTGCAACAGCATATCATACGGGTAGTAGCGCAATTTTCCTTTCTTTGTGTCTTGTTTTATTGGAGTGAATGGCTCATCAGTAGCAACCTCCATCTTTGCACTTGATTCTTTGGGAATTTCAACAATAAAACTGAAGGCACTATCACCCAAATGTAGCGGTATATCATGCCAAGGAGAAACCTGCAACGTGAGCAAACAAAATGCTTTGTGACCAATAAATTCAAGTCGTTGGAAACCCTAAAATTTCATTCTGACTCTAAATTAATTAAGGAATAAAATAAATTGGAAACCATACTCAAACTATGCAACTGTTTCTTTATAGACCTATCTCATCCTCTGTTCAATTTTCTGATATCAAGAATGGAACAAAAAATATGGAATCTTACAACAGTGGGATTTTTAAGAATTTTTCCTATTGCATTTCTACATTTTCTCGGCTGAGAAAATTTCAGCCCAAATCCAGAAAACCCCGCAAAGTCATATTCTATGCCTCGCAATTGCAGATATGTAACCACATTTCCACATGAAAACTGTTAGGCACCTCATTCGTATGAGCTACCACCTGCACTGCAGATTTTTATTCTTTATTTAGTTTTGGGATTTCTATCCTAAATTAGTTTTATGGATAGAAATCATGAATAGTTGGGTTAGATTAGGAGTTTATTGAGCCAAGAGTTGTAATTGGCAAGGAGTCTAGTTAGTAGTAGAAGTCTAGTTAGGAGGTCTATTCTATTTATATCTTCCTGAACATTGTTTTTGGCAGAAAAAATTTTAATAAAAGTTGGAGGACGATTCCCCTTGAAGTGAATCAATTTCTCACAGGATTCTTGGAACCTATCATTTGGTATCAGAGTAGTTCTTTTCCTGGTATCATCATGGTTACTGTGAAAGAATTGACTGAACGTGTTGAGCAACTGGAATCAAGAATGGATCAACT